AACTTAATTGTAAGATGTGCAAGAATACCTAATATTGAATAAATTATAATCTATGCAAAATCATTAAAAGTTCAATTACATATCGAAAATTAACTGAAGTTAAAATTATCAGATAATTTGAGTTAAGAATTTTTAAAAGCTTAAGTTTTAAATTTATCTCCATTTCCCACACAAATTGATAAAATTAATCTAGTTTATTCCTACTTATAGTGCATTTTTTTGATAAAAACACTCAACGAGAACTTAGAAGAAATATTTACTCATTCATAATTAGAGGTTTTTAGAGTAATCAAAACATTGTTTTTGTGAAAGAAAAAAATTTTTAAAAAAAACCACAGAGGTGAAATTTAAATTAACTAATTTTACTTTTTTATCGTCTTTTTCTAAAATCGAAGAATATTTAAAGAGTATTTGTCGCTTCCGTTATTAAGAGCTCTCTTAAAAAAACGCTTAGCATTTTTTCTCCATATTGGTTACCGTTAGATGTTAATCTTTCCCAGTTGTTTTTCTACGCGTATTTCTTCAGCTGTATTGGCAACAGTTGAGGCGCGTCTGCTTATCGATCGTCATCTTGTTTTTTCTACTGCTCGATATTTTATTTAACATTTAGAGTGTTGATATTTCAGTGAAATGTTTGGGGAAGAACTCAAGGCGTTCTCTAACAGTCAATTTTTTTTTATTCACTATCTCAGGTTCGCAAATTAGCACTTTTTGAGACAAGGAATTCATTGACAAATTCCTGCATCTAACGTTTTTTGTTTTATTCAACCATGCGGATATCCGAAAATATGCTTCGATTATTCAATCTAAAAGGGTTAAACTTGGCTTATTTTTTTCTTCCCTTCTCTTTTTTTACATTTTATTCATTTTTTTTCTGATGATGTCACGGAAATGGTATCGACAGAAAATTTTGTTAAGATAGAAAAAAATATGAAAAATATTGTCAATAGAATGTCAGGAATGTTGAAAACAATTATTTTAAAAATTTTAAAAATAATTGTGATTTTGGTCATGGCATAATTTTAATAGTTAAACCCCACAGTATATTCCTACAAGTGTACATGTTTAACAATAGTATCGTACAAATTTCCGTGGTATTCAATTGAACCACGGTATCTTACATCTTTGCAAGGAGCTAAGTTAAGCCGTACTATTATGCAAACGTGCATTGTTCTATGTTAAACTATCATATCGTTCAAATTCACATGGCGCTTAGTTAAAACGCACCATTATACAAATTTGCATGATGCTAGTTTAAAACATAGTATCGCACAAATTTGCATGGTGCTAAGTTAAACCATATCGTAGAAATTGGCATGGTGCTAAGTTAAAGCATAGTATGGTGCAAATATTCATGGTGCTAAGTATAAACATAGCGTCATGCCTCTTAAACCTAATGACACGATATCATAGTTTAAATTTACAGGTGAAATAGTTCAATTGAGCGCATTATGTCGATTGAAGCAACTTTGGCATATTAATTGGCATATTTGGCTTAAAAATATTTCACTCAATAATAAAAATGTTCCAGTTTAATAAAGTAAATGAACTTAAAAGAAACAAAAAAATAAAGCGTAAATTAAATTTAAAACAAAAATTTTGCTTATCCCGATGTATAAATCGACTTCATAAACCCCAAAAATTTAAAAAAATCAGGGGGTCAACTAATACACCGGTAATTAATTCGGACATTCCTTGATTTTTAAATATCGATAAATTATAAGCAATGATATGAATATGAATTGATTCGATCTATAGATTTATTCTCTTGAAATATCATATTTTCTTTTTAATGTGTTACATGCAATTAGTTCTGCATTTTCTCTCATCATGTTTCCTTTTCATTTAAAGGTTTACTTTTTTTTTTTTAACTATTCTTTAAATTGCTTTCAGAAAAAAAAATTAAGAATAAGAAGAGATAATTTACTCGAGAGTTTTAATATTTTTAACTTGAAAAAGCTAAGTAGACTTAATTATTTTTGTTAAATATCGGTTTTAGAAATTTTCATATTTAACTTTTTTATGGTTTTACTTATACACCGACATAACAGAAATTTGCTTTCTCGTATTCAGAAATTGTCGAAGGGATGGACTGACCAGATTAACTGAGGGGTGGACCTTTTTAAGCAGTTGGGACATCGGTGTCCGTTTTATACAATTTTTGTCTGACCCCCTAATTGCAAGCAAAAATTTTTTTTGGTATTTTTAATTACAAAAAACAGTCTAATACATAGTTACTAAAAAATTCTGTTAGAATATCGAAATTATATTTGTACTAAAATATAAAATCCAAAAATAGCAGTTTGAAATTTTTTCCATTCATATTCACAAATTTATCAATAATTAATTTTGTAAGTTAAAGAAATTTTAATAATGAATAACTGTTTCTCTCAGATCTAAATAACTTCAAATTTGAAAAATTATTGTTTGGAAGTGAGCCGTGTTTCGAAGATTTGCATGCAGAAAAAGACACGGGTGTAATATGTTGAATTTCTTAACCACAAATTATTAAAATTCTAAATGTAATATTTTTCACCTTTTTTGACCTAATTTAATGTAAGATAATGAAAAAAGTACGAAAAATATGTTTAATACAAACTCAGCTTCAAACGATTATACACAAGTATACTTCAGAAGGGTACGGTACATTAGCATGAGTAATTTTATCAATAATTTTAAAATATAAGATTCCAGTGTTTCTTTCAAAAAATTTTTCCAAAATTTAAAGTTCAAAAAAACACAATACTAACCCATTTCGCCACTTTGCAAGATATCGGTTTTGAAAATTGTTTGCGAAAAAGGTGCTTAAAATACAGCAAATTGAACACTTCTGTTAATTCATGTTAATCTGAATAAGTTAAAAAAAAGTCGAAGTAGAAGTTTTTTTCCGAGAATTCCGTTAAATTCTCACACAATTGTATTCTATTGGTATTACACTGTAAAAGAACTCAGTAAATCTTTAGCCAGTATTTGGTGCAAAGTTTCTCATTATCCTTAAGTTTAGTTAAAGGAATCATGAAACTTTTTTATTTTAGTTACACCATGAATTGTGAAATAAGATTGAGAAATACTTCCATGGTGCAATTTACTGCACCAAAATTTAATAAAAAGCGCAAAACTTTGACGCTGACTTTAAACTGAATTATATTCGCTTACGACGTCATGTTTACTTCACAACTCAATCTCGGTGTGTCGGGACTTATAATATTGTTTCAAGTTGAAACAATATTGCATATTGTTTCAAGTATCAACTTATTTAGATAGGTAAATGTTTTATTTACACTGATTAAAGTTCATTTCTTTTATGTTGCCTTTTTAAATATAGTTAACGGTATAAAATGATTACAGATATGTCATAAAATAACCTACTTACGGTAAATAGTTTTGTTACGGTAAACAGCAACCTTGTCCAGTATTTGAGCGCCTTAGAAATACATAATAATGGGCAACCATTCTGTGCTTTTACAAAAGAAAAAAGAAAATGTATGTTTTGTTTCTTCAAAACCACCTACTTTTGGTACAACCCTCTACTGATATTTAGAGTACCAAAATATGGTAAAATTGAGCTCCATTTTACGTAGCCAGCAAATGAATAACAATTTTTGGTGCAATATGGCTCGGAATTTTTAACAGTGTATTTACATGTAGTTAAAAACCTGAAACAAAGTTACAATTTCTAATTATGAATGGTTTAGCGTGTAAAGCTAAGCACAGATGGCAATAGGGGTTAAAATTCGTCGTAATACTTCCTTGTTACTACTTTCGATTGATTTTTACGCCTATGCTTGAAAAGCGCTCCTTCCAATATTATTACACTCGTAGTGTTAACATTATAACGCGTTCTTTCAATCTAAATTTCAACTAAACGAACAATATATGAATTCGGAGACTCTACAAGCATACAATAATGCTATCCAAAATAAAACAAGCGGCGATTTTTTACGCTAATGTAGCCAAATAAGGGATAACACTCAAAACATGACAAACCTTACACTTTATTTATGTTGAAATATCAATTTTCTTATATTTCTTTTATTCTCATGATCTGTTGGAACTTATAAATTACAGAAAACTCTTATGAATGGTAAAATTACGCTTAAATTTAAACACATATCAGAATTATAAAACTTCTTAGAATATTAAGCCTGTTCACACATCACCTCGTAAGCATAGCATAAGCGGATGGATACACCGGAAGTTTTTTTAATTTCTTCCGGTTTTAGGAAGGTTGTTATCGCTTACATTCAGTCAACCATCCATAACCTTCTTTTTCAAAAAAATAAAATATTAGAAAGAAAAAAAAACAGAAACTCTCTTACCCTGTAGTCATAAGTACTCATATCTCGAATAAGATTCCGTCTGTCACCAATCAGCTGTCGAGTTCTAATTCCGTGTGTCCCTTGCAGAATTTCTTCTAAATGTTCGATGTAATCGATTGCATTTCGAAGTATTTCTACTTTTGGTAGCCTCTGGTTCGGATTCGGACTCGTTCTTCGTTTTAGTGTCTCGAAAGCTTCGTTTACCTGAAAAACGAAATGATTTTATTATGATAAAGATATAATTTATTTTGTTTTAAAAAAAATGCATGCATGAAAATTAAATAATAAAATAATAATTCAAATGTAATGTAAATTTTATGTTTACGCGATCATTTGTGCTACGTAGATTTAGTACAAATTTCTCCCTACAAATTTAGGTTTAAAATTATCAGTATTCACCTTATCTGAGTCTCCTTCGTTCTCGAATTGTAACTCAAATGTAATGTAATTTAACGTTTATGCCATCATTTGTGCTATGTAGACTTAGTACAAATTTCTCTCTACAAATTTAGGTTCAAAATTATCAGTATTCACCTTATCTGAGTCTCCTTCGTTCTCGAATTGTAACTCAAATGTGATGTAATTTAACGTTTATGCCATCATTTGTGCTATNACCATCCATAACCTTCTTTTTCAAAAAAATAAAATATTAGAAAGAAAAAAAAACAGAAATTATCTTACCCTGTAGTCATAAGTACTCATATCTCGAATAAGATTCCGTCTGTCGCCAATCAGCTGTCGAGTTCTAATTCCGTGTGTCCCTTGCAGAATTTCTTCTAAATGTTCGATGTAATCGATTGCATTTCGAAGTATTTCTACTTTTGGTAGCCTCTGGTTCGGATTCGGACTCGTTCTTCGTTTTAGTGTCTCGAAAGCTTCGTTCACCTGAAATACGAAATGATTTTATTATGATAAAGATATAATTTACTTCGTTTAAAAAAAATTCATGCATTAAAATTAAATAATAAAATAATAATTTGAATGTAATGTAAATTTTATGTTTACGCGATCATTTGTGATCGCGTAAACATAATCGTGATTTGTATAGACTTAATGATGCGTTGATTTAGTACCAATTTCACCCCCAGTATTTAGGTTCAAAATTATCAGCATTCACCTTTCTAAGTCTCCTTCACTCTCGAATTGTAACTCAAATGTAAAGTAAATTTAACGTTTATGCGATCATTTGTGCTGCGTAGATTTAGTACCAATTTCACCCCCGGAATTTAGGTTCAAAATTATCAGCATTCATCTTTAAGTCTCCTTTGCTCTCGAATTGTAACTCAAATGTAATGTAATCTATCTTTTATGCGATCATTTGTGCTGCGTAGATTTAGTACCAATTTTTACCCCCGGAATTTAGGTTCAAAATTATCAGTATTCATCTTTCTAAGTCTCCTTCGCTCTCAAATTGCAACTCAAATGTAATGTAATCTATCTTTTATGCGATCATTTGTGCTGCGTAGATTTAGTATCAAATTTTACCCCCGGAATTTAGGTTCAAAATTATCAGTATTCATCTTTCTAAGTCTCCTTCGCTCTCAAATTGTAACTCAAATGTAATGTAAATTTTATGTTTAAGCGATCATTTGTGCTACGTAGAGTTAGTACCAATTTCACCCCCAGAACTCGTATAGACTTAGCTGTATAGACTTAGTACGAGTTCTACCAACAAATTTAGGTTTAAAACTATCAGTATTCACCTTATTTGAATCTCCTTCGTTCTCGAATTGTAACTCAAATGTGATGTAATTTAACGTTTATGCGTTATGCATGTGCAGTATAGACTTAGTATCAATTTCACCCTACAAATTTAGGCTCAAAACTTTAAATAATCACCTTTCTGAGCCTCCTGCGTTCTCTCATTGTAGCTGCTTTTCTTCTGTCTACAGTCGGATTCTTTCTTTTACAGGCTTTGCATGCCCACAGTAAGCATCGGCGACCAGTGTCTGTAACGTGACCTTCCATGGAGTTCGACCCCCTGTGCAGGGGAGGGGGAGCTAGGACATGCTGCTCCTCTTCATCTTCTTCCTCCTCATCTTCATCCTCACTACCTGATGCCGGATTTTTTGAGCGAGATGTTGAGCTTTGTTGTTGGGGCGACATAAAGGCACAATGATTGGATAGATAATCTTCATGGCGGTAACTGCAAAGAAAGGGAATGTCAATTGAGCGAAATCGGTAAAATAGTTTCTGAGTTGGAAAAAAAATTCGGAAAAATAATACAGTTTAAAATAGTGGCTAATTTGATGTTATTATTTTTTTTATCTTCTCTTACCTTTCATAATTTTTTATCTTTATACTTTTAACTATCGACTTTTGATCCAATTTCTTTAACAATCTTATAAGAAATTATTGCAACAAAAATTTAAATGAACTTCATATAAAATGAACATGATGCCTGAAAAATAAATTAATTGAGACTAACTTTGAATCGATTCTAAATAAATTATGCTCAATCTTTTATTTTTTATGGCGAAAATAAACGGCGAAAAAAAATTTGGTAAAATTACAGTTCTGCATGATAATGACATTTCAAGTAAAAAAAAATTGGGTTTTAAAACCAAATTATAAGGTCATTCATTTGGCAATATTTCTACTTCTATGTTAACGGTTTTTCGGAGAAAAATGCTCTAAACTACTCAAGGTATCTGACTGAATAAAAATCAGCGATTTTGACAAAAATTTCGATTTTTTTTTTTATTTATTATTATTATTATCTACATTATAACTTTAGTTTATTAGCTGTCGAAACCCTTTTAAATTTTTTACCTTCAAATTTTAGAAATGAAGTTAAAGTTGTTTTGTTGTATACTAACAGATAAAACCGAACCTGGAATTAAACTGACGAAAGCAAAACTAAAATATTTTTTGTTTTACTTTGAGTATTTGAACTCTTATTTATTAGAATAAATTATATATTTTAAAACAGATAAAATTCCTTTTCAGAAATTATTTTTCGAATTATTAGTTTTTTGACGTCAGAATTTTCATACGTTCCAGAATTTTCTTGCATTTTACGAAAGAAACTGATTTTGATCAAATTTCTTTACGCTAGCGAGCCTTACAAAAAAAGTTTATTATGGAATTCTTTGAAATTTTGTATGTAGATTTTTCATAATGTTAGTAATGTGTTGAATTAAATGCTAAGGTCAATGCCTTAATTTGTTACTTTCATCAAGTTTTAAGTAAGAATATTTATAAATTTCCCTTAAAACAATCAGTATTAAACAATGTATTTAGTTTCATATTTCATTGCTTGTTTTAGATTATTTAAAATTTTAGCTCAAAACACGGGTGATTGCAGGAGTGAATTCTTTGAAATTTAGCATGTAACTTCCCAAAGTTAGCGAAATTTGTATTCATGTTAGCGATGTTTAGAACTAAATGCTATTTAAGATTTAGGTGTATATTTGTAATTTTTATTAAAATTTAGATAAGAATAGTAATTTTTCTTTAAAAATTCAATATTTAACTATATATTAAGTTTTTTTTGTTGAGATTTTAAGTTTTCGTTCAAAACAAAGGTAATCTTAGGTGATTTGTTCAAAACACGGGTTATAGAATTATTTGAAATTTAGTATGTAGAATTTCAAATGATGTTAGTGATGTTTTGAACCAAAAACTAAGATCTAAGTTTTAATTTGTTATGTTATCACGTTTTAAATACGACTATTTCGAATTTTTCTTAAAAAATTCGATATTAAACAATACATTTGGTTTCATATCATTTCATTTTTTTTTTTTTAGATTTTTATGATTTTGGTTTTACAAACAGTGTACATAAACATTTTTCAGAAATGTACACATTACCATTTTGCTGCAGAGTTAATAGAGCAACGTGAAAAATCTGTAGTTAGTAAGCTCAAATTTGCCCTTACTTTAAAAAATGCTTGATAAACTTTCAAACTTTACTTTAAATTTAGAACTTTAGGATCCCTGTTTACCAAATATAAAATTAAACTTTCGACTAAGTTTCTAAAAAAAATATGAGTCAAAACCAGTGGTATACCGTAACAAACCGAGTATATCACGAGTCTATAAACCAAGTACAACAGAATCGAGTATATCACGTATTGAGATGATATACTCACCAATCTCTTTCTGAGTGCGAATATTGGGAGGGTGTCCCGGGAGATGTGGAAGCGGAAGAGCTGGATGTGAAGGACGGTTGATACTGAACTGGTTCTGCAGTCGAAGGAAGTCTTGTATCTTTCATCTCCATACAAATTCTAAAGGATAATTTCTTCTTTTAATTTGCAAATTTGAATCTTTCTTGGGATAAAATAATGATAAACCACATTTCAATGGTTCAAGAGAAAGTTTTCAATGAAGTATTCCTCTGCTATATAGAGTAAATTCATGGAAATGGCAAGTCAACAATGCAAAAAGAATTTGATGTGACGATGGAAAAAGTGTGGCTTATCACTATTATCCCAAAATATCTATAAATTTATAAAGTATTTTATTTGTAAAAAAATTTTAAAAAAATAAAAAAGTAGATATTTTTAAAAGTTTTATTATGCAACGATAAATCTAAAATTGTATATTTTACAGATATTTATATATATTTTTCAGATATTTTAAATAAAATATTTTGTGAATTGTTTGTTTTGCCGGTAAAATACTTTGTGTAGGGTCCGTTAGTAGACCCGACTTTTTCTAAAATTGGCCCTGAGTATATTTCTTAATATTTTCTACACTGGAAAAACTTTTCACGTATCTGAACATCAAAAGTGGTGGCAATAACTTTACATCAAAGAAGGGTTCTACTGTATCAAGAACCAAGGATAGTTCTTGGTACCGTGCTTTCTTACACTGTAGAATAAACATAACGTAGGAATCCTAAATTAAAGAATTCGTCTAGTTTCGATGTTTTTCTTTTAAATATTAATATGAAACTTTCAAAAACTAGTTTATTTGTTTTATTATGTGTGAAAAATTATGAAATTAGTAAAGCAAATTATCATTATTATTTTTTTTACAGAACCATTTTTAGGTAAAAATAAGGCTTTTTTGCACATAGTCTAAGCATTGTAAAAAATTTCTAAAGTTTAAAACAAACAAAAAACCTTCGTGGAATTTATTTAGGAGGCTATCAACTATGTTTTGCACTATTATCTTAAAAGCAAGTGCATATACTGCTGAGTTAGGAATCAATATAGTTAAAAAAAAGTAAATTTTTAGAAATTTCCACACTTGTGTTAGCTAAAAAACATGCATAAAAATTAAATTCTACTTTTACTCTTAGTCTGTAGTTCAAAACATGTGTGCTATAATCATGAACATACATGAAAAATTGTAGACAATTATTTCAAAAACAACATGAGATATTGTCTTTAAGGTTATTTAAAATGTGAAGAAAAAAAATCTTATTTTGAGATAAACACATTTAAAGACTTAAAATCATTACGCTATCCACTGTTATCACCTTGCACAAAAACTGCTATAACTTGGTAAAATGAAACAAAAGTAAAGTATTTAGAAAACTAAGATTAGAGGAATTCTGAATTTATAATGAACTCAATTTCGAAAGTTTAGTCCAAAATAATATTTTTTTCACTAGTCGCCTTAAAGATGTATGCATACGATATTTCTTAAAGTAAAATTAGTTTCTTAATCAGACATGCACACAGCACAGAAAGAATATTAATATGAATATGAATTAGGCTTAACAAAGGCGGAACGGGTAGAAATTAAGTATTAAAAAATTATTTAACACAGTTCACAGATATTTTAAAATCAATTTATATAATAAATTAATTGATATGATATTTTTAATTAATTTTTAAAATCATTATAATACATCTAAAATCATACATATTTTACCGGTGAAGTTTTGTCTCAGTAGATATTGCATAGTGGCCTGGAAGAAAACCAACTCACTCCAACTCTTATTAGATGTAAACAAACTACTGGTGATATCTAATTTGCGACAACTTTGGTGTTTTCGGAATCGGAAATAATTCAATGCACCTGATCTCGGTCTGAGCTTTCTCCCTTGTTTGAGATTGGATATTTTTTATATATTTTATTAATGAATGAGTGTAGTGTATGAATGTTTTATTCGGGATTAACTTGAAATAACACACAATTTTTAGATTTTTTTAACACCAAAGTTATTACGGATTAGGTACTACACCACAGTTTTCATAGGGTATAATTAGCAAAGGAAAAAACGGATCACCCAGACTAACTTTTGATCGAATGATTAGATCGTCATGTTCTAGGACTCAATAATTAAGTTAAATAATTAAGTAGGCGATATTTTTAGTGAGGAAGACAGAGTCAAAAGCGTACTTACTCTGAATATGGATACTTTTTTAAAATTCGACTTCTCAGGAACTGCTCAACCGATTTCGCTCAAATTTTGTAATTTGTCATGTAAAACAACATTCATTAAAAGATAAATCTGCATGTAAACTATACCTTACAATTTAAAAAATTTTTGACTATTATTAAATAAAATTCTAAAAATAATAAATCTTTACCAAAATCTATTTTTCTGCAAGGAATTATCTTTGGATAAACAAATTTTATTATTGCGTGCAAAAGTTATGAGCAAGATATGGCGAAATACGCAAAAAGTAAAATTAACAGTAAGGGGTCCAAACTTTCGACTGCTCTCCTTTTCCAACTATTGTAACCATATTTCCAAGATTGCGGCAATCCGTAATTTTTCGGAGGTCAGAAATCCGAATCCGTCTAAAAAGATGTTTGTTTATTCAAAGAAAGTACTTTTTTATGTCTGATTTCGTAACTAGAAATATCGTCTGTACTAATTAATTAGCATATTTGCAGTCCCCCTTGAGCCACTAAGATTGAGTCCTAAAACTTGAATATCCGATCACTAGATAAAAAATTATTCAGGGTGATCCGTATTTTTTTTCACGCACTCTACGTACATTATTTACAAACATTTCCATAGCATCAGCATTGTTCACCTATTAATAATGTCTTTTTAACTCCCTATAACTTCACAGAAAAATTTCTGGCTTCAAAATTAATCAAGATATGAAAGATGTTTATGAAAGTTCGCAAAGTTTTTTTTATTTTTAATACAAAATTCTTGTTATCTCTAAATTAATGCTCCAACCTGTATCAGAAAATACAAGCTTGATATTGTTTTATATATCGGAAAATTATCGCTTTTTTATCGGATAAAGCATGCGTTCAACATTGCGTGGACTGAGAGTTTTCANTTTTCCAACTATTGTAACCATATTTCCAAGATTGCGGCAATCCGTAATTTTTCGGAGGTCAGAAATCCGAATCCGTCTAAAAAGATGTTTGTTTATTCAAAGAAAGTACTTTTTTATGTCTGATTTCGTAACTAGGAATATAGTCTGTACTAATTAATTAGCATATTTGCAATCCTCTTGAGCCACTAAGATTGAGTCCTAAAACTTGAATATCCGATCACTAGATAAAAAATTATTCAGGGTGATCCATATTTTTTTTTCGCGCACACTACGTATATTATTTACAAACATTTCCATAGCATCTTTATTGTTTACCTATTAAAAACGTCTTTTTAGCTCCCTATAACTTCACAGAAAAATTTTTGGCCTCAAAATTAATCAAGTCATGAAAGGCGTTGATGAAAGTTCGCAGAGTTTTGTTTATTTTTAATACAAAATTCTAGTTATCTTTAAATTAATGCTCTAACCTGAATCAGAAAATACAAGCTTGATATTGTTTTATACATCGAAAAATTTAAAAATTGCCACTTTTTTATCGGATAAGGAATGCATTTAACACTGTGTGAACTTAGGTTTTTTTATAGCAACAGCCACGTTTAATACTATTTTAGACTATGTAACTTTAAACGACGGAAATAAAAATTTGAGCAAAGTTTGTCGAGGAGTTTTTGAGCAAAAAATTTGTTTTCATTTTTTATTTTTCAAAAAAGTATTCCTTTTTTTTATGTTTGAATTTTGAGCATTTAAAATGACACAGTTTAAAATTATGCAAAATTTGTAAACCTTACAATTCAAAAGTCTTTTTTATTAAATTAAATTATTAAAAAAATACTTTTGAAATGCTAAAATTTGCTTGAAGTTATCTTTTACAGAAACAACTTTTTTTTAATTAAATTTAGTAGGTGTTGAACGGTAATGACGTTCAAGTTTGTTGTAAACTTAATATGGCAATAAGTTGAACCGTAGTATAGCTCTTCTTAAAGCTTGATTCACACCTGATTGATATAACTTAAACAGAAACATGGTACAACTTTACACATTATTAAAACTGAATAAAAGAATTTGACAGCGTGTTAAACTTTCAAATTCAATGCAACTCTATTACTTTACTTAGTTAGTTGAACCTTATTATCGTGCTTCGTAAACTTGATGACACAAAAATACTATGGTCCAACCTGAACGAAAACATTAAATTTAACTCCTTATTAAGATCGCATAAAAAAAATTCAAAGTTTTTGAACCATAATATTTTTCAAACTTTCAGCAACACCAGCATACTTTATAGTTGAACAACATAATCCTCCTTTTTAACACATGACAACAAGACACTATAGAATAACTTGAATAGGAACCTAGTTCAATTAAACACTATGAAGGTGGAAGAACACTTACAGTATTATGATTCAATGTATGATTTAGCATTGAACTGATTTTTCTACGAGTTTAACTTAATAGATCAATTTGGTTCGATTCCGTTTTTGGGGACCTTTTAAAAACTGTTACACTGTTATTATTTTCATTCTAAAATTATGGTAAAAAAACCGGCAGCAATCTGTCCATCCGATTAACCATACAGTTTACGGTAAAGAATATTTTTCACCTTTACTGTTTTGAAACCGTTTACAACTAGTATGGTTATAAAATAATGAATGCAAAACTATGCTGGTTTTTTTAACCATTTACAGCTACCATGGTTTAAACACCGTAAAAAAGACATTTTATTGGACATATGAGCTAGGCGTCTGGTTAGATAATGGGCATTGGAGAATGCAGGACACTGGAAATTCTTCATGAGTGTTTAAGGGAAGTTAAGTGTCCATGCTGGGATTCGAACCCCCGTTCTGTCGGTCATGAGATTGACAGTTTAGCTCTCTCGGCTATAATATGCACACAGTTGCAAGGAACTAAGTTGCTCCATTAGGTGGGTCTAAATGGTGCAATAAAATTCTTGTTATTTATCCGTTTTAGGTAAAAATAGTTAATAAACGATTTTTCTGACTGTTAATAGTTTCATAATCATCTTATTTATGGTTAATTTACTCTTTTGTTTAAATATGGTAAAATATCAATGAAATAGATTGTCATTTAGCTATTGTTTCTGAGAAATTTCTAACAGTGCACTGCATTACCTTCAATAGAAACCTATATTAGAATAATAAATACTCAAAATCACAGTACCTATAACTAGATTAACAGTAGTACCTATTACCAGAATTAATTAAGCATCACTGGCTTTAATAAATAGCTTGGTGATTTTTAGAATATTTAGGCCGAAATGGAATATGAAATCTTACCTTGTATCATCTGAAGAAGTGGATACTTCTGATGATTGGCATCGTTGAATCTTTTCTGCGTTCTTTTCGTAGCCAAAGTTCTCGTTCAAATGATCTTCTGGTATGACTTCCATAGTGTATGGATGCTGCTGCTTCTGTTGGTGGCAAGGTCTGTTGGCTGATGCATCCTCTTGACTACAGAAATATCTGTTGTTGTACTGTTGTGTGGACCTGTGATAGTCAAAGTGCTGGGGAGGTCCGTAGGTCATGTCGTAATGTGACTGTTGAGTGGTACTACTGACGAAAGGAGGTGTTGAAGTGAGAGGGGGTGAAGACTTCTGGTAACGGCAACTCCGCATTTCCGGAACCATCATCACTTACAGGTGTGAACGACTGTTATAGAAGATTCTGAGAAAAAAAAACACATTGGGGTCAACAACAGACAAAAAAAATTAAACTAATTTAAGAAGGCATGAAATTTTTTTTTGCAAAACTAATTTTATTGTAAACGTAAGAGAGAGAAATGTGGATCAGTGGTTACCCATTGGTCAATTTTTTTCTGGATGGACTTTCATAAACGCCACAACATTTCAAGTAATGGATTTGAAAAACTGCATTACATTGATACTTGGTCTTGGCGTCCAATTGGCTGGATTGGTTTTTAATTCCAGCCAATATACGTTTCTTAAAACGTCATAAAAAAATTTCTTTCTTCAATGCATTGATATATATATATTAAAATAACCACTAAGACAGTAACTATGAATAAGTTAATCATAAAAAGAGTAAGAAAAATAATTTTTATGAATAACATGTTGAAGCTTAAGAAATGCAAGCTAGGGAAAATAAAAAGAAGAAACTGAAAACACTCAATTTCAAAAAGTTTCAAAATGGGATGCTTGCAAGTGACGTATATGGGTATCGCGATTCTGATTGGATGTTGAAACGCGGCATTTGCTTACGTTAGTAACTGTTCTTTACAATCCATTTGGAATAGGCAAAGCCCATCAAGTATCAATTCTCTTAAATGACACATTATCGATTCTTTCATAAAGATTTCAATTTTTCTCTACGTATTTCTTACTTAACACAAAGACAGTGACGAAGTCAACTCAGAACATAAACAACCTAATTATGCATTGAAGTTTCCAGGTACACGAGACAAATATATATCATGGTTACAATAAAATACACAAAAAATAATAAATCTAAGTTAAGTAAAAGACGAATATGAGAAAGAATTAATTTTCAACAAATTTAACGGAGCTGTATCTAATTAACTTCGCGTTAATTAACATTCTAACTTATGTGGAGAAACTTAGCTCAACTTAAACACTCTATTTACATACATACTGATTAAAAATAAGAATTTGAAAGTTTTTTTTTTGATTGATTGGTAACAATAGCTTACTGCCAAACAATAGGAAGTCATGGTCAAATAGACTTCACTGGAAAAATTTTTGAATTTGTTATTATCTCTGCAACACCTTGTTTCTTTGAAAAAATTAAAAGGTGAGTGCTTGTATTTATATGTTTGAGGTGGAAATAATCTCATGTAATAGTTTTATTTTTCTCACTGTGAAAAAGAGAATTCAAAATATAGTTATTGAAGTTAAGTTTTGTTTTCTTAAGCATCATAGCATAATAAAGTACTGAGATAAGGGGTGTTTATTCACTGGATCACCAAACGATGAAAAACCAGTGAAGGAACAAGTGTTCCTTTACTGAGTTTTTTTCTAAGTTAATGAAAATAAAAGATAAACTTTAATTTTCTTGTACTTCTAGCGATATTCCGCATCAAAAGTATGTTAAAAATACGAAAAACAACTTCTAACCAGTGAGGGAACAGGCATGTTCCTTTACTGGGCATAGATTTCCCAGTGAATGAACAGTATGTGTTAATATGTTGACACTTTAATTTTCAATTCGTGATTACCAAAAAACATTTAACATTTTCCAAGTATTAATATGTTATAATTTCAAGAATAGGCTTGTTTTTAAATATTTGTATGGCTTATAAATTCATAAAGAGCATTAGGAAATAACCAAAATTAAGTGTTCTTTTACTGGGTGTTCATTCACTGGTAAGAGCTGTTCCTCCACTTGGTCTTCTTACTACTTGTTACTTGAACCTCCAAAACTTTAAAACAATATTATGTAAGTTCTCTACAATTTTCTTACATAATTTGCAATTAGTAACAAATATGTTGACACTGTCATTTAATTAAAATTACGAATTTTGAAATTAATATGATTTTTTAAAAGGCAAGCAAAGCTTAAGTGTTCCTTCATTGGTTAGCTTATTACAACAATTATTAACAATTTCTGAAAATTTATCAGGAACATTTGTCAAAAATTTATCTCTGAAATTTATGTACTCTATACTGTAAAAACAGTGGTTAAAAGCCTCTCCGAATTTAGTATTGAAAAACACCAAACGTGAGTGTATAAGTACTTTATTTCAATGTAATACTGAATCAAACGTTCATTTACACTTTAAAGGATGCATTTAAATCCATACACCAAGAATTGTGAATGCTTACACTAAGCTCATACGCGTTTATAATATTCATGAATTGTTTTTGACTCCAAAAACGCCAATTTTAGCTACGTTTGAAAATCACCAGAGAACAACGTTAGATTGTTTACAATCGAGTTAAAGGAGGAGTTCTTGTGGCCTCGCAAGCTACGAAACATTCTATAAAAACAAAATAACTGTTATAACAATCATGCATGTTTATAGTTTTTCAATAAAGTTAATTATGTACTTATAATAATACTTACATGAATTTGTCGATCATATTAAATAGTTTAATTATATTTAATTTCTATCCATTTCTGTTCTCTTAAGCCTAATTCCAATTTGTTTTAATGTTCTCTTTGCAAGATTGATAATTAACTCATTTTATTTAAAGAATTGTTGAGTGTAGATGCTTTAAATTAATAATTCTTGGTGTAAATTGTATCATAAAAATAACTTTACTGATTTTTATGTGAATTACATCTGAATGTCAATTTTTGCTATTACTAAATAGTTGCAACTACGTTACATCAAACGATGTGTGATAGAACATTTGTGATATTTACCGCACGTTGGTGTTTCATTACATCATTTTCGGTGTTAAGAGGCACTAAACACTTTTAATTTTTCATTTTAAAGATCAAACACCTATATCCATTCAAAAGAGATATGTTTACGCATAAAAATTACATTCCTCTGTCTGTTTTCGGTACCTTATTCAGAGGTGTGTTTAATTAATAAAGATATTCAAAGTGTATAACAAGCATATTTCTTAGTACATAAAACCCAATACTCATATGAAAAGCCACTAAATAATTACCACTTAAATAGAGCACTTTGAATTTTTTTTTAAAAATTTAATACTGATCTTTTTATATGGAAATGTCAAGGCAATCAATTTAAAAATAAGAAAAAACAATTCGAAGTGAAAGTACGAGAAGCCCTGCACTGACGTTTTTATAAATCCAATAAAAAAAATATGACACTTCGTAGGTGAGGATTTAAAAAAATCTACTATGTTTTTGAATTTATTAGAAGCTAAAAATAACTAAAAACAGCCTTAATAAAAGTATTCAGCGTAAAACGTATTCCCATCTGTTTTGAGTTCGTAAAAAACTGTTTGAGAGTGTTAAAGTTCGCAGTGAAAATGACTCTTTTAGATTATTCTAGAAATGCATAATATAAAAAATGGAGTTTAGCAAAGCATATCTGTGAAAGAATACATTTTTCAAAGTCAAACATTGTATCGAAATATTTTTCAAAATATCTTTTCAAGCAATTTACTTAGAAAGAAAAAAATATTGGCAAAAAGGTAAAAAAAAATGTATCTATATAGGAATGCAGAGTTATAAACGAGTGTCTTGGTTCGGAAACAAAACTTTTTCGACTGGGAATTCTATTTTATAGCCTGTTTTAAAATTTAGTTTATATTTTATTCTTAACACTAAAGTAAACTTACTATTTTAAAGGTACGGAAAAGTGAATATAAAAAAAAAATCTCTTGCACTTTTTAAAAAAAAGACTAATATTTAACGTCAATTATGTTTGATGTTAACTAGATATTTAAGTTAATACCAAATTTTCTAGAATGTAACTTAAAATATAAAAATTTATATCATTCGAAGCATAACCAATAAAATATAGACACACTTGAAATTCTAACTATATATATAAAGCAGAGCGTGTGTGTATATATGTGTATGCGTATGTGTATATGTACCTTATACAAATCAACAATTTGTACCAAATTTAGTGTATATGTCATAGTGATAGACCAAAATTGGTAGTTGTTGACTTCCGCGGCTGAATGTTGGCAATCACATAGACGCTTTGGTAAATGTGCAAAATATATGCTAGGTTAAATATATAACATTTAACCTAGGTATATTTAAATATTATATATTTAACCTAGGTTAAATATATAATATTTAAATATATACTAGCTTAGTGCCACTGTCCGGTATACATTTGCCCAGTATATTCTACACCAGTGTTTCCCAAAGTTGTCCATATGGACCCCCAGGGGTCTGTGGTGTCATTCAGGGGGTCCGTGAAAGATAAAAACTGATTTAGGGGTCCCTGAAGAACGTCAGGGGGTCCGCGTGAGGTTTAATGTAAAATAATAAAATTGAGGTTGGTTTTTAAGATTATGGAATTTAAAATAAATAAAATAGTAGAGATTTTTACGTCCTAAGTAAACTATAAATAAAGGTGGGTGCTTACAATTATTAGCAGTGGTTTGTTACAAATTAAACAGTTGATTTACAAATTTTCTTATATCTTTTGTTCCCTTTTTAAGAGATAACAGTATGAATGAATCGAGGAAAATACGCCGAAAATATAGTGTTGAATATTTGAAGTATGTCTTTATTTCTTCACCAGGAAATAGTACTTTACCTATGTGTCTTCTATGTAATAAAACTATAACAAGTGATTCAATGAAACATTCCAAGCTTAACAACAATTGATAAAAATCCATAGTGACAAAAAAGATAAAGATTCAACTATTCTTCAAACAGTTACAGAAAAATATCTGAAAACACCGTCACTGCAACAACTTAAAGGGACAACATCAAAGCGAGGTGACGATGGATTTAACGTTTTCTCTTAGTTTCGCATTATATTGCATGATTGCAATGTCCGGAAAGCCTCACACAATTGAAGAGCTTATTTTACTAGCTGTAAGTGAGATAATACTCACCGGGTTGAACAAATCAGCTTTCAACATTGTAAAAAGAATTCCATGGAGTAATAATAATGTACAAAAAAGGATTGACAAAATATCTCAGTGGGTAGAGAATTCTTAATGTGAGTACTTAAAAATATCTGAATTTTCTATACACCTTGACGAATCCACTTATCCAGGAAACGAAGCATTTACTTTTAG